TGAAATTTGTAGTTTGGAATTGGTAGCTTGAAATTTCAAATTTGGAGCTTGAATTTTAGAACTCGCACCATGGTATTTGGAATTTTAAATTTGAAGCTTACGAGTACGAACTCTGAGCATTCCCCTAGTAGCACGCTTGTCACAAATCGATTGTAGAAACTTATATACGACTTATTTCAGTCATAAACAAGTTGCTGTAACTTATTGTGATGAAAGTGTGCTACTCGGGTCGGAAGTTGAAGCTTGGAATATGTTATTTGGAGCTAGGATTTTGAATGTTGAGCATGGAGTTGGGAATTTGAAGCATGAATTTTGGAATTTGGGACTTGAAACGTCAGCATGGAGCCTGGAGCATGGAATTTGGAATTTGGAACTTGAAAGTTTTAAATTTGAAGTAAGAATTTCAAATTTGTGATTTGGAATTTGAACCTTGGAAGTTTGAGTTTTGAACATGGAGTTTGGAAAGTTTGATTTAAGATTGAACTTGGGAGCGAGTATTTTTGAACTTAGAGCTTGGGAGTTGGAACATGCAATTTGGAGTTTTGAGCTTGGAGTTAGGAATCTCGACCTTAATATTTTAAATTTCGTATTTAGAATTTGGAAGTTTGAATTTTGAACATTGGAATTTGGAGTTTCGAACACAGAGTTTTGGATTTGGGAGCTTGGATTTATGATTTAGTATTTTGAGCTTGGAGATATAAACTTGGAGCGTCGATTTTTGAATTTGCAGCTTGAAATATGGAATTGTGAGCTTGGAATTTAAAATATAGTACTTGGAATTTTAAAGCAGCAGCAGAAAGTTGAAATGTTCAGCTTGGAGTTTGGAAATTTATAAGTCTTAGCTCGGAATTTTGAATTCGGAAATTGAAGCTTGGATGTTGCAATTTGGAACTTGAAATTTAGAATTTTGAGATTGCACTTAATTTGAAGTATAGTGCATCAAATTTCGAATTGGGAGCTCACAATTTCGAACTTGAGCTTGAATTTTAGAATTTATTGCTAGGAATTTGGAGTGTGGAGCTTAGAATTCAGAGTCTGGAGCATGGAATTTGGAATTTGGAACATGACATTTTTAATCTAGAACTCTGACTTTGATATTGAGAACTGGGAAGTAGGAGTTTTAATCATGTAGTTTTGAATTTGTGAGCTTGGATTTATGGTTTATTATTTGGAGCTTGAAGATTGAAACATGGAGCATGGGAGTTGGAAATTGGAATTTAAAATTTTAAGCTTGGTGATGTGGATTTACGATTTAGTGTTTGGAGATTTGAAATTGAAATTGGAGCGTGGATTTTTAAAGTTGGAACGTAAAGATGTTAGCTTGAAATTGGGAATTATGAGCTTGGAATTTGAAATATAGCACTTAAAATTTTAAATTTGAAGCTTTGATGTTGGAATTTTGAGCACGGAGTTTGAAAATTGAATCATTTACATTTGGAATTTGGAGCATGGAGATGTAATTGAGGACTTTGATTTTTGAATTTGTTTTTTTTTTTTTTTATTTGAGAAATGAAGGTGGAATTCATAACTTGAAAATTGAAGCTTTGAATTTGTAATTTGGAGCTTGCTATTTAGAATTTTTAGCTTGGAGTTGAAAACTTGGAGCATATAATTTGGAATTTAGTGCTTGGAATTTGGAGTGTGGAGGATTGATATCAGAATCTGGAGCGTGGGATTTGGGATTTGGAGCATTGAATTTTTAGTTTTGAAATTTGAACCATTCAGTACGAATTTGAAGCTTTAAAGTTGAAATTTCGAGGATGGAGTTTTGTATTTTGGAGTATGGATTTTTATTTAGTATCTTGAGCTTGGAGATTAAGCTTTGATTTTTGAATTTGGAGCTGAGGAGTTTGAAATTAGATTGGAGTGTGGAACTTGGATTTTTTAATTTTTAACTTGGAAGTTAACATATTGAGCAAGTAGTTTGAAAATTTTAAAATTTGGGAATTCGAGGTAGGAATTTAGAATTTGGAAATGGAAGCTTGGAATATTTATTTTGGAGCTTGGGATTACGAAATTTGTAGCTTGAAGTTGAGAATTTGGAATTTGGTGCTTGGAACTTTAAGCTTGGAACTTTAAGCTTGGAGTTTCGAATTCGGAGCCTGAAATTTAGAACTTGGAGCCCGGAATTTGAAATTTAGAGCTTGGAATTTGGAGTGTGGAGCTTTGAATTCAGAGTCTGGAGCATGGAGTTTTTAATTTGGAACATGACATTTCGAGCTTAGAGCTAAGAATTTGAAATTGAGAGCTTGGAATTTGGAGTTCTGAATTCGTGAGCTTGGATTTACGATTTATTATTTGGAGTTTGGAGACTTAAATTTGAAGTGTGGATTTCTTTATTTTGAGCTTTGGGAATTGGAGGATAGATGATGGAATTCGGATCTTGAACCTTGGAATTTGTAACTGGGAACTTGAAATTTGAAGATTTGAGCATGGAGCCTGGAAGTTTGAATTATGAGCTTAGAGTTTGGAATTCGGAGCTTGGAAAAAGGGATTTTTTAATTAGAGAGCTTGGATTTATGATTAAGTATTTGGACCTTGGAATTTGGAGCTTGAAGATTGAAATTGGGAGCGTGGATTAATAAACTTGAAACATGTAGGTTGAAATCTGAAATTATGAATGGTAAAAATTTGAGCACGGAGTTTTGAAATTGGAGTTTTGCATTTGTAATTTGGAGCATGGAGATTTAAATTGAAAGCGTGGATTTTTAATTTGGATTTTGGAATTGTAGGTGGTAGGTATTTGTAGGTTGGAATTTAGAATTCAGAAATTGAGGCTTGGGATTTGTAATTTTTGAGCTTGGAAATAAAAACTTTGAGTTTGGAGTGGGAATTTTGGAGCATGGAATTTGGAATTTAGAGCTTGGAATTTGGAGTGTGGAACTTTGAATTCAGAGTCTGAAGCATAAAGTTTGGAATTTGGATCGTGGAAATTCGAGTTTAGAGCTACTAATTTCAACTTTAGAGCATGGTGTTTAAAATTGGGGCATGGAAGTTGGAGTTTTGATCATGGCGTTTTGTATTTGGGAGCTTAGATTAATGATTTAGAGTTTGGAGCTTGGAATGTGGAGCATAAGGCTTGAAATTGAGAGCGATTTATGAACTTTGAGGTTGGATGTTGGAATTCAGAATTTAAAACTTGGAAGTTGTAATTTGGAATTTTAAATTTGAAGTTTTAAGCATGGAGTTTCAAATTTATTTTGAGCATGAAGATTGGAATTTGGAGCTTGCAATTTGGGTTTTGGAATTTTGAGTTTTGAATTTGGGAGCTTAGATTTATGATTTAATATTTGGAGCTTGGAATTTTTGAGCATTGATTTTTAAACTTGGAGCTTGAAATTTGTAGCTTAAAATGTGGAATTATGAGCTTGGAATTTGAAATTTTGTACATGGAATTTTAAATTTGAAGCTTGGAAATTAGAGTTTTAAGCATGGAGTTTGAAATTGAGAGCTTAGATTTTGGAATTTGTGGCCAACAATTTAGAACTTGCAGCATGGAATTTTAAATTTGCTACTGGAAGTTGGAGTGTAGAACTTAGAATTCAAAGTCTGGAGCATGGAATTTGGAATTTGGAACATGGAACTTCAAATTTAGTGCTAAGAGTATCTGCAAACTTGGAATTTGGAATGTGGAATTTGAAGCTTGGAAGATGGAATTTTGAGCATGGAATTTTGGATTTGAGAGCTTAGATTTATGATTTAATATTTGGAGGATGGAGATGGAAATTGGGAGCGTAGAATTATGAACTTGGAGCTTGGGAGTTGGAGGTTGAATGTTGGAAGTTTGAATTTTGTGCTTAGAGTTGGGAATTTGGAGCTTGTTATTTGGAATTTGAAATTTGGAGTTTGGAATTTGGGATCTTGAAATTTTGAGTTTGAATTTGAAATTTGGAGCTTGAAAGTTGAAATTTAATTTGGGAGATGCTGTTGGAACTGAGGATTCAGAAATTGAAGCTTGGAATTCGTAATTTGAAGCTTGGAATTTAGAATTATGAACTTCGAGTTGGGACTTTGGAGCATGTAATTTGGTGCTTACAATTTGAAATTTGGAGTTTCGAATTTAGAGTGTAGTGCGGGGAGTTTAGAGTCTGGATCATTGAATTTGAAATTTGGAGCATGGAATTCCAAATTTGGAGCTTATAATTAGAAAATCGGAGCTCGGATTTTAGAATTTGAAACTTGAAGCTTGAACTTTGTGCATGGAGTTTTGAATTTGACCCAAGTAGCAATTAGGGTTTTATGAGGGTTCTGCGGACTATGATTTAGACTTGTAGCATGCTTTAAAACCGCGATAAAACTTGCAATGTTACTTGGGGAGATGATGATGATGATGATGGTCCAACCTCTTACCCCTACAAAGGTTTGAGCTGGACGATTTATCTTTAAGATAATTGAATATGACATTTCAACCAGGTTGGCAAACAAAATCGAACTGGTTTCAGTTACAGATATAAATTCCCTCTAGAGTTTACAGTTGCTTCACAGCTTCGATTTTTAATTTAGTAATTGGAGCTTGAAGTCTGATGCTTGGAGATTCAAATTGGGAGCATGGATTTTTTATTTGGAACTTGGGAGTTGGATGTTAGATGTTGGAATTTTGTATTTGGAATTTAAAGATTCTAATTTGTAATTTGAAACTTCAAATTTGGAGTTTTGATCTTGGAGTTCGGAATTTTGAGCATGGCATTTGAAATTTGCAGCTTGAAATTTGGAATGTGGAGCTTGGAAGTTTGAATTTTGAGCTTGAAGTTGGAATTTTGAGTTTGGTTCTCGGAGTATGGAGCTTAAAATTTATAAATAGTAGCTATTTATTTAAAATTTTTAGAATGGAGTTTGAAATCAAGAGCTTAGAATTCCGAACTTGAAGCTTTAAATGTGGAATTTGAGCTTGGAGCTTAAAATTTTGAGCTTTGGAATATAGAATATGAAATTCTCAAAACAGCACCCCCTCCCTAGATAACGATCTCTAATGCAAATCATCTTTCTCATAATACCCACAGGTCCCCTACGAAACGGAAGTCCTGGAGGACGCCACACCAGGCACCACCGTGTTCAGCTCGATCCTGGTCACCGACAAGGACACAGTTGGCGAAAACTTGATCATTACCTGCATCGAACAGCCGCTGAACCCGGACGCGTGTGAAAAATTCACCATCGAAACCATCGAAAGCGGCCAGGATCGGCTGACGGCGGCAGTGGTACTGCAAGGCCGCCTGGACTACAACGAACGGATGATTTACCAGATTGTGCTGGAAGCGACGGACGGGATGTTCAACGCCACGGCAGGACTGGAGATTCACGTCAAGGATGTTCAAAACAGTCCACCGGTGTTCCAGGGATCGCTGGCTGCGGTGATCAACGAAGATAGCAAGATCGGAACGCTGGTGATGACGATCCACGCGAGGGATGGTGATCGTGGACAACCGAGGAAGATCGTCTACGAGTTGGTTACCAGTGAGTATTGCACTTGAATTCAATTTTTTTGGAACTAATGTTGAATGTTTTTGTTTTCGCGTTCAACAGATCCCATGGACTACTTCCTGCTGGATCGTCAAACGGGTGAGCTGCGAACCGCAAAGCCGCTAGACAAGGAAGCCCTCCCGGATGACACAGGGTTGATCATTTTGACGGTCAAAGCTCGGGAACTGATCGACGGAGTTCCGGGAAATGACAACCTAACAATGGCAACGACTCAAGCATCGATCACAATTCGTGATGTGAACGACTCGCCACCAATGTTCAACAAGAAGGAGTATTTCGTATCGATGTCAGAGAATACGGCACCAGGAACGCCTCTACCGATTGAGATGAGTGTTCATGATCCGGATGTTGGAGAGAACGCAGTGTTTGCGCTGCGGTTGAACGACGTTTCGGAAGTATTTGACGTGGAACCGAAGCTAGTGACGGGTTCGTCGCAAATTAGCATTCGCGTTGCGAATGGATCGTTGGACTACGAGAATCCGAATCAGAGGAAGTTTATTGTTTTGGTGATCGCGGAAGAAACACAGACCAATCCGAAGCTGTCATCGACGGCTACGCTGACAGTTTCCATTACTGACTCAAACGATAATCGACCAATTTTCGAACAGGATTCATACTCGACTACGGTATCGGAAACTGCTCATCCAGGTCATCTGATTACAACCATCACGGCCAGGGACTTGGATTCGGGACATTTTGGAGATCAAGGCATCCGGTATTCTCTGTCCGGAACGGGAGCTGAACTGTTCAACGTGGATCCCATAACAGGTGCCATCACGGTGGCAGATTGCCCCGCTACGGACAACTACAACAGTAGAAGGCGAAGAAGACGTCAAATCCCGACGTCCGATGAGCTATCTCAGGACTATCCGGAGATGAAGCGGTTTAACGTGTCTACCGATGGACGGTCGGGCCTTTTGGATCGCGGAGTAGACTACATGGCGTACAAGGTCTTCAACAGCGGCGAATCGAATGAGTACAGGGACGTGAATGTCGTCGCTCCTCCAACGGTTTCCAGCAGCTGGGAAACGTCCAGTTCGGAAGAGAGCGAAACGACCACCGGTTGGAGCAGTATGGAATCGGAAGAATTTTTCACATCCTCCACAACTCAGCATCCGATCCACTCGAACGAAATCCAACACCGTTCGGATGTGGGTCCGGGAAGAGCTCCCTGCCTGGACTACGAAAACCAATCCGTCTACTACCTCTCGTACAAGGCAACCGACGACGTGGGTCGCGGTCAAACCTCTGTCGTGTCACTGCGAATCACCCTCCTGGATGCAAACGATTCGCCCCCGGTCTGCGAGAGCCCCCTCTACCGGGCCTCGGTCGATGAGGGAGCCGCCGTTTTTGAGCCTCCGCTCATCATCAAAGCCCGCGATCCGGACGTCCTTTCGGAAATTAATTATCGGTAATTGGGTTCACAACTAAATTAACTAACTGTCATCCGGTGGCGACGCGGGCCGGATTCGAGCGGTGAAACAGGGAAAATCTCTTTGATCTTCCCGACCGTTCACTATTCAGGAAAATGCGTCATCCATTTTTCCCATGCAAAACAAAGAAGGAGAAAAAATTCGAGTCTAATTTTTCGTTTTTCTCTATCTCTCTCCCCCATTCTCTGTTTGGTCTATCTATTTCAGCATAATTGGCAACGAAGCAATTACGCGCCATTTCGAAATCGACAAACGGACCGGCCAGTTGACCATTTCCAAGAGCACCGCCCTCGATGTGAACCATTTGAAGTCGGAAAATGTGTACTTCTCCGTCGAGGTGAGTTTTGGTATTTGGTGCGTTCTCTGTGTGTGTGTGTGTGTACCTTTGCTGGGATGAATTAAATATTGAAATCAGGTTGACGGAGCCGGGATGGAACTGTTAATTTAATTGATTTGCAGAAGCGTCGGAATGGTTTGTTCGGGGTTTTTTTTTTCAACCGTTCGTGTTTGGATAATTAAAATGTCGTGTTCTATTAACATTGACGACAGACAGTTCAACGTTTATATGAGAATGAAGGGGATCATTTCAGGCTTGCTTTGGGAACTTTAATAATCCAAATTCAATACAGTGCCTTCCCGTTTTTGAGAACACATGATTTTTGTCTTCTTCACTTTCAGAAAATCCATCCAACGCTTAATTCCATTTCTGATATCACTACCCGAGCAAAGCTGAACATCAAATTGAAATCAAAATTTGCTGTTATGATGTAACTTATTTTGAATACTCCAGTTGATCTCATTTTGGTTGACTTAACGGTTAACACAGCAAAAATGAGAGCAAAATTTTACACTGTTGAAGCAAACGGAAAACTAATCCTGCTTTCAATGAAATCAATTTGATTACTCATTTTGCATTCATAATGTTTAACTGAATACGGGCCTGGCATAAATGGTTAGCATCCATGCTTCTCACGCTGAAAGACTTAAAAGTTGAATAAGTCAAATCTCTCCCCGGGCAAGTCAGGAATGATCTAAAATGTGTTAAACAAAACAAATAAACAAGAATCATTAGCTCAACAACAGATGAACTTAAATTAAATTTTAAACAAGACCTTAAGAGCAGAACTAAGTTGCTTTCATTTAAAAAGTTTTGACTGCATAATGAAATCACAATATGATATCAGACTTATGTCGCGACAATTGAAATCAAAATGAGTTTTCATTATGATAGAAACTGCAAACTTTAATATCGATTTGCTTTCATTTTGTTAACCGACTTTGCTCGGGTAGGCCCCTCTTTGGGGATCCTATCTTCTTGAAATTTAATGAAAAATGCCACAGAAAGCGCTAGCACAAATTTGAAGAACGAATTAGTTGATGAGTTCGTGATGCCAAAAACGGGAATGCACTGTAGAGATAGCCAAATAGTCAAAACCGATTATTCAAAATTCGATTATTCAATTGTCAAAATAAACAGTCAGGATTAAAAAAGTCACTTCAACAATTGAATTCGTTTGAGCCCTGGGTAGACTGCTGACTTTGACGAACACCATCGAGGTCAGCGAGGATGGCTAAATTTGTGATAGTTTCACAAATTAGAGTTGTAGGAAAGTATGTAGATGTATAAATTTTTCAGGAATTGTAGGAAGATCCTGAAACTTCAACAATTTCGCAAACTTACACAAAATTTGTTTAATTTTCATGAAGTTAATAGAAATGCCCTAGGGTTTTCTGATCTTCTCTGAAGTATCCGAAACTTCCCTTATTTTTTTCTTATTGTTCTGAAGTTCTTGGCCCTGCATATAATAGATCTATCATGAGCATCTCTTAATTTTCTTGAAAATCCATGAACTTCTGTGAGTTTCTGAAATATTTCTGGACTTTTCCAAACATCACTGAAGTTCTGTAGATTTCTTGAAATTTTCCGCAAGCTTGAAGCTCTCCATAAAACTTACGGGAATTAATTTAGAATGCATTCCGCATTTTCCTAATGTTCAGGTATTCCCTTACGTTCCATGAAGTTTCCGGAGTTCTCTTGAAGTTCTCTGGATATCTGTGAAGTTAGAAAACTTCCAGAAATTACATAACTTTCCTGGAGTAATTTGGGACTTCCCTGACATATCCGGAACTTTCCAAAGGTTCCCACTATTTTCCTGAAGTTAGAATGAATAATCATTGTAATTCCAAGATTTTCAATGAAGTACTCAAAAAATTTCTAAAGTTAATGGAATTGCCCTTCAATTATCGAAGCTAAAGGGTGATACGGTCAAAATTTGGTCAATATCAACTTGACGTACTTCTTTCAATTTTGCATTTAAAAAACCTGAACACCCCTCATTTTGAAGGTGTGTGTGTAGAATGTTGCTCCTATTTTGATTTTGGAATTCACTCTTCAGTTGTCAAAATGCCGTCCAAGCAAGAAGAGCAGCGTATCAAAATTTTGCTCGCGCATCGCGAAAATCCGAGCTACTCGCACGCAAAGTTGGCAAAATCGCTAAAAGTTGCCAAATCAACCGTTACAAATGTAATTAAAGTGTTTGGGGAACGTTTGTCGACAGCCAGGAAGTCTGGATCGGGGGGAAATCGAAAACCGGAAGCCGCTGAGACGACAAAGAGAGTTGCCGGTAGTTTCAAGCGAAATCCTAACCTCTCTCTCCGAGATGCTGCAAATAAGCTGGGTGTATCGTCTACAACCGTGCATCGAGCCAAAAAACGAGCCGGACTATCGACTTACAAGAAGGTAGTGACTCCAAATCGCGATGATAAACAAAATACGACGGCCAAAGCGCGATCCCGGAGGCTGTACACGACGATGCTGACGAAGTTTGACTGCGTGGTAATGGACGACGAAACCTACGTCAAAGCCGACTACAAGCAGCTTCCGGGACAGGAGTTTTATACGGCAAAAGGAAGGGGAAAGGTAGCAGATGTTTTCAAGCACATGAAACTGTCAAAGTTCGCAAAGAAATATCTGGTTTGGCAAGCCATCTGTACCTGTGGCTTGAAAAGCAGCATTTTCATAGCTTCCGGGACTGTCAACCAAGAAATTTACGTGAAAGAGTGTTTGAATAAACGTCTGCTGCCTTTCCTGAAGAAAAACGGTTGTTCCGTACTGTTTTGGCCGGATTTGGCATCTTGCCATTACGGTAAAAAGGCCATGGAGTGGTATGCCGCCAACAACGTGCAGGTGGTTCCCAAGGACAAGAACCCTCCCAACACGCCAGAGCTCCGCCCAATTGAGAAATACTGGGCTATTGTCAAGCGGAACCTAAAGAAGACCAAAAAAACTGCTAAGGGCGAGCAGCAGTTCAAGGCAAACTGGCTTTCTGCGGCGAAGAAGGTGGACAAGGTGGCTGTACAAAATCTGATGGCAGGGGTCTAGCGTAAGGCCTGGCAATTGAGATTTGGATAAGCGGAAGCCTAACTGAATATTTTTCCTGAATTTTATACTAATTGAACTTGAAAAAGAAATTTAATTTGATTTTTTAAATAAACGATTTCACCGATTTACACGCGTTTTCCCTTGACCAAATTTTGACCGTATCACCCTTTATTTCATCAACATCTCAAATCTTCCTTAAAATTTATAGTCTTTGCTGATGTTTCAAATGCTTTCCTAATATTATTAGAACTGCACAAAAGATCTCCGAACTTCACTAAATTCTATGGACTTCACAGAATTTCTCGATATTTTTAAAAAGTTCCCGCGAATTCCCTTAATTTTCCTGAAGTTTAAAAAACTACTTTGAAACTCTCGGAACTTTCCCTAAAATTACTTATTTGAAGTTTTCTGAAGTTGCTGGTTGAAGTTGCTTGTATTTTGTAATGTTCCAGAAATGTTCCTGATATTCATAAAACTCCCTTGAAGAGCCTTCAATGAAGTATTCGGAACATTCCTGAAGTTTTTGGAATATCTCATATTTTCTCGGCATTTCATGGAAGTTCCTGCATTGCCGCTCGTAGAAAATAATGAGACCGCTCTGAAGTTCTCTGTGCATCCTCGAACCTTCCATAAATATAATGAAACTTCCTTAAAAAATCTAAAATTCTTTGAAGTTCTCTAAACTTTCATGAAGATTGAGGAACATCTTAAATCTTCTATCAATTTTCATGAAATTAATGGAACTGCCTTGATATTCGCTACAATTGGTTGAAGTTCTCAATGTCCTCAAAAACTGGTTTCGCAATTCTTTCGAATTATTTCTGAGTAGCCCAGGAGTTGTTCTTCAAAGTCATGATCGTGACTTCAAAGTCTCAAATTAGCCTTCAAGTACGTAATTGGTCCTAATTGTCTTCTTAGTTGCTACTTCCGATGAGGTCTCTGAACATGTCGTTATGCCCGAAGTAATCTGGATATGCCTTCGAAGATCTTTAGAATGGCCTTCAATTTTAGTAAAGAGCTGTCCCTAATAGGCCTGTCATGGTGATAGCTTCAAGACAGTCTCAAAGATCTCAGAAATTCAAAAAGAGTAAACTGCAAGGAAATTAAGTAAACTTCGTACGCTTAGTGATCGTAGGAAGATACTCCTTGTCCAGTAGATGTTTGCACAGGTCCCAGTTACAGCGTGCCACTGCCCTCTCGTCGATCGGCTCCCTAGCTGGCTGATTAACTCCGCTAGTGTTCAGCATTAGGAAGCAGTTCGGGGTAAGTGCTTCTTGTTCCTCGGAATCGATTGGCAGGTATGTGAGAGGCCGTGAGTTGACAAGAGGTTCAGCCTCGATCAGGAACGTACGAAGAGTTTCATCGTCCGGCTTGCCCCCGGTTGTCAAAGATGCCAGCGCACTTTTAACCGACCGAACCATGCGTTCCCATGACCCCCCATGTGTGGCGTAGAGGGTGGACTGAAACGCCATTGTGTATCCGTGTTGGTGAACGTACCCGCAAGGTTGCTGTTGATGTGCTGAAGTTTCCTCTTCAGGACGCGGCTAGCGCCCACGAAGTTTGTTCCCCGATCACTGAATATCTCCCGTGGGGCCCCCCTCCGTGCAATGAACCGCCTAATTGCCATCTTGCAGGATTCCGTCGTTAGGTTGTGCACCACCTCCAGATGCACTGAACGTATGGTCAAGCAGGTGCATTGTGCAACCCAACGCTTAACCTCGCTGCGTCCCTGCTTAACCAGCATTGGCCCGAAGTAGTCCACGCCAACATAGGTGAATGGCCGAACGTGCGACACCGTTCTAGCTTTAGGCAGCGGAGCCATTCGTGGAATCTCCGGAGCCGCCTTGTAGCTGTTGCACCACTGGCACTGCTTTCTGGCTAGCCTGAAGGCAACCCTCATCTTCGATACGTGAAACCTTTGGCGCATCTCGTTCACCGCTGTTTCAGCATTGCAG